TGGCCCTACGTCCTTCCTCTGGTCCACAGCGTGTCCCTCTGTCGTCTCCTCCTGCGTCCTCTCTTCCTGACGTTCCTAACCCGCCGTTTGACCTTGCTCGTGCTGCCAGTCGTACTGTCGCTCGTCTTCTAGCCACTGTTGTCACTGACCCTTCGTTTGAGTCCACTGCTGCGTCTGCCCTAGTTGCTGAGCTTGTTGACTTTGCTGCCGCCTGTCGTCTCGACTACGCTGCTAATCTTGTTGCTGAGTCTGAGTCTGTCTGTCCTCCGTCCGTTGGGGGTGAGTGTGCTCTTGGCACGGACGTCCTTGAGGACACGCAGGAGGACTTTGAGTGCTTTGCAGCTGCTGTACCTCATCTCGTGTCCATGCTGATTGCACCTGAGGGAGACCCGGATGCACCAGACATCCCGACCCCGCGCTCTTACGCAGAGGCGATTACGGGTCCCTAATCCTCTCAGTGGCAGACAGGCATGGACGCAGAGATGGCATTCTGGAAGTCCACAGGCACTTACGTTGACGAGGTTCCCCCTCTTGGGGCGAACATAGTCGATGGCATGTGGATTTTCAGGGTGAAGCGGCCGCCGGGTTCTCCGCCTGTCTTCAAGGCTCGTTACGTTGCACGAGGCTTTAGTCAGCGACAGGGAGTTTACTTCTTCCAGACCTTCTCCCCTACCCCGAAGATGACCACTCTTTGGGTGCTGCTGCACGTTGCCGCTCAGCGTGACTACGAGCTTCACTCTCTTGACTTCAGCACAGCTTTCTTACATGGCACTCTGCACGAGGAGATCTGGCTGACCCGCCCACCTGGCTTCATTGGGTCGTTTCCCGCAGGTACCCAGTGGAGCCTCCGGTGGCCAGTCTACGGTCTCCGGCAGGCGCCTCGTGAGTGGCACGACACACTGAGGACGACACTTGCGGCTCTTGGGTTTGTTCCTTCGGCTGCTGACCCGTCGCTGTTTCTGCGCACCGACACTTCGCTGCCGCCGTTCTACATCCTCGTGTACGTCGACGACTTGGTTTTTGCCACTGCTGACACTCAGGCACTCGCCCTTGTGAAGTCGGAGTTGCAGAAGAGACACACGTGCACAAACCTGGGTGAGTTGCGCAGCTATCTTGGCTTGAAGATCACTTGGGACAGAGCACGGCGCACCATCACCCTGACTCAGTCACACATGGTGCAGCAGGTCCTTCAGCGATTCGGCTTCCGGTTCTCCTCGCCACAGTCCACTCCTCTGCTTACAAGTCACTCGCTCTCAGCTCCACCTTCGGACGAGTCCGTAGAGCCGAGTGGCCCGTATCCAGAGCATGTGGGCTACCTCATGTACCTGATGACCTGCACTCGACCTGGCCTTGCCTACCCTCTTAGCATCCTGGCGCGCTACGTTGCGCCCGGAAGACACCGACCAGAGCACAGGGAGGCCGCTAAGAGGGTGTTGCGCTACTTGTGCAGTACGTCGGGCATGGGGCTCGTGCTTGGAGGACTGGGTCCAGTTGTCCTCACTGGACACGCAGACGCTTCTTGGGTTGACGACTTGGCTACGCAGCGGTGGTCACAGGGTTACACCTTCAGCCTTGGCTCCGGCTCTGTTTCTTGGTGGTCTACCCGCTCGTCTTCTGTTCTCAGCTCCAGTTGTGAGGCTGAGATCTACGCCACAGCCATGGCTGCACAGGAGTTACGCTGGCTCACCTACCTGCTGACCGACCTGGGAGAGCGGCCTCGTTCTCCTCCACTTCTGTACGTAGACAACAAGGCCATGATTTCCTTGTGTTAGGAGCACAGGCTGGAGCACAGGACGAAGCACATCGCTCTGCGTTACTTCCTTGCTCGAGAGTTGTAGCAGCGTGGTGAGCTTCGTCTTGCTTACGTGGCCACTCGGGCCAACACTGCTGATGTCTTCACTAAGGCCCTTGGGTCTGGTGATCATCAGCGTTTCTGTACTGCTTTAGGCCTTCTGCCTGCTTCGTCTCACTTGCTCATTGCTTGACTTTGCCTGTACTGTGATCTATATATATATATATACCTGCATGCTTTCACTTGTTAGATTGTGATCACTGTCCTACTTGTTCTATTTTATATAACTCTGCATGTGAACTGGCCTTGTGGCCATTTGCTTGTCCTCAGAGTGCGTGGTGACTTCGTGATCCACCCTGAGCTTGGCTTGCTCTTCTTGCCTGGTCTTGTGACCCCTTGTTCTCCCCCAATGTGCCTATGGGGTTGTGTCAAACTATCATGTTGTGTGGGCTATAGTGGGGTAGCCCATATGGGGTACAACCCAATTAGGGTTTGCTACTTGTACTCCTGCATGCTGTTAGTTTCATTCATTCTCGTTCAGTTTTTTCTACACCCGCACCACTCTCGACTCCCTACCGATTGCCCAGCGCCAACTACAAATGGGATAACAAACCTCCGTCACCCGCAGGACTCCAACTCTACCAGCAGCAACTGGGTTGCCTGCTATTCGCCTCTGTCACCTGCGGACCAGACCTTTCGTACATCGCCAGCCAGCTGGCACAGTACTCACGCAAGCCAGTGACAGAGAACCTGCTGGACTTGAAGTGCGCCCTGCTTACTTCATCTCCACACCTGACACTGGGCTCTCATACTTCACGCTGACAACACCATCCTTCAACCTCACTGGCTACGTGGACGCAGATCACGCCGCTGGCCCTGCCAATCGTCACGAACGGGGTTCGTCTTCCACCTCGAGCCACCGGGACCAATCTCCTGGAAATCCCAGAAGCAGGAGCTGGTTGCCATGTCACCAGCCGAACCAGAGTACATCGCCGCAACTGCTGCAGTTCGCGAAGGACTCTACCTGCAAGAGCTACCAGGAGGCGAGAATCCCAACATCGCCAACTTTTCGCCTCCACTATAACAACCAGAGCACAATCAGGATCGCGAGCAAGCCCGGTTTCGTCAATCGAACGAAGCATATCGCGCTGCGATACTTCTTCGTCAAAGACGAGATTGACCAGGGCAAGGTTGATCTGACGTACTGCCCCACCACTGAGATGGCTGCCGACTACCTCACCAAGCGACTACTACGTCAGCAGTACCAGCACTACTCCAACCTCTAGTACCAGCTCCCACTGTGTCCAGGAATGAAGGTGGGTGTTTTGATATGGGATGTATGAAAATGCATTCCAGTACATAACAGGAGCAAGTAGTACCGAGGATGAATCTGAGGAGTCAGAAGAGTCGAAGCGACATCCGCAACCGTCAGATCGAAAGCGATGCAGGCAGAAACATTGAACTGGAATTTGCGGATACCGGTTTGAAATGGGTTCTCGCGCCGCACGGTTGAATTTCGCTGCAATAAGGGACTGTACCCCTTAGAGTACATGGTTAGCTATGACATTTCGCATTCCTTTGTATTTCCTGTATAAACCAATGTATGCATCTGCTATAATCACTTCAGTCATTTACATTCACTATGATATGAGGTCATTACTTCCGCTGCAATACACCTGTTATCAACCCAGAGCGATCCTTGACTAAGTCCCTCTTAGGATTGTAACAAGTGTCATAAGGGTGAATCAGAGGCCGTTCTCAAGTTTCCCCACCTTCAAGTTTCCCCACCAGACCGATTTATTCGAAGTTGATGGTGTCCTTGTGGGGAATTATCCCACTTGGGACACCGACCCTAAATTGGGCAGGCGACAGTGGTCGCCAGCATTGCCTGACAGGTGTCCAACAGAAGCTCTTTCGCGACCAATCGAGTTATCATGTCAAAACGGTAAGACTCGCTTTGACCCAACTTCCTCGCCAACTATGAAACAGAATAGGCTGACATCCAGGCACTAAAGCGAAACGAGGAAACATTAATGGTGTGTTTATAGCTTGAAATTTGGCTACAATTCGTTTTTGTCATAGTAGTTGTGGTGTTTGTTTTGGATAGAGACTCTCAACATCTCGTTTGTGGGCAGTCGTGAAAATGAATTTTGACGGGAGTGGTAGAAACCATTCGCTAATGGCAAGATCGCTGAGGTCGCACACTGACAGGAAAAGGTGTCGTTGAAACCGTCGCCGGTTGAACGCAAGGTGTCCGAACTTCGAACCGCGTGAGGGAACATTGAGATGTTGGATAATGCCACGTCAACATATGCGAATTGTGTGGGGGAATTTCGCATGGTGGGGAAACTTGAAAATGCGCCCTCACCCTGTTATCATGGGGTCTGGTTTCAATGCTCGTTAAACAATGTTCGATGGCCTTACAGTTATCTCAACCTATTAGGCGGTGTTAGGAATAAGAAGCGTTTAAAGCTCGCGTCTCCAATTACATCGTGGCATCCAAGTGTTAAACGCTTGATATAGGGTAACAGACTGCTTTGTCGCAAAGTTCACCCAGGCAAGGGTTGAGTTTCGGGGAAGTGTGGGTGGGGTGGTTTGGGTTTGCAACGTGCACTCTAATTGGGTGCGCACATACGCCAAAGCAGGTTGGGTTGGCAAGCACTCCTGCGCGACAAATAATGCTGTGAACGCTGCCTCGTGCGACAACTGGACCGTCGCCCTCTCGTCCCTGCAAACCAAGCGTTTTACACAGCTCAGAAATATGACTGAGAACTCGTCAATATCTCAAAAGGCACTCTGCACCAAGTATTTTACGACCTAGACACATGTCCTAGTCTGGAGCCCTACAGGAAAAACCCGCAAACTGGTTAGAAATCATCACCCAATCATCGATGCCCCACACATCGTATGCCCTTTCCGCCCACCTCTGCTACAATCTGACCTGTCGTCGACAACAACGCGACCCGTGTGAGACTATAGAACCGGCCACGCCAACCCCAGACAATCCACTGCCCACGCCACGCTGCCCCGAACCGGCTTTCATCGCCCAAACGTTGCCCCTGGATTAGGTGAGCCTACATGTTTCCGCGTTGTTACCCGAGAGAAAGGTGGGGCGATAGAATGGCGTCGATATCGTAGGCCCGTCCTTTACGAGGCCCTTACGAGCACTAAGTGAATGGCTGTAGTGTTAGAAATGAGAGTACACGGCCTAATGAGAGGCGTATTGGTGGGCGTAATGGGAGGCGAAATGAAAGGAGTAATGAGAGGCGTAATGACAGGCGTAATGAGAGACGGCGTGAGAGGCGGAATGAGAGGCGGAATGAGAGGCGACGTGAGATGCGGAAGTAGAGGCGGAATTAGAGGCGGAATGCGAGGCTTTCTGAAATGCGGAATTAGAGTCGGCCTGCGAGTCGGAATGAGAGGCGGAATGAGAGGGGGAATGAGAGGCGGAATGAGAGGCGGAAAGAGAGGCGGAATGAGAGATACGTGAGAGGGGGAATGAGAGGCGGAAGGAGAGGCGGAATGAGATGCGGAATGAGAGACGAAATGAAAGGCGTAACGAGAGGCGTACTGAGAGGCGGAATAGAAGGCGGAATGAGAGGCGGAATAGAAGGCGGAATGAGAGGCGGAATTGAAGGCGGAATGAGAAGCGAAATGAGAGGCGAAATGAGAGGCGGCTTGAGATGCGGAAGGAGAGGCGGAAGGAGAGGCCGCGTGGGAGGCGGAATGAGAGGCGGAATGGAGGAAGGGAGGTGCTGTGAGAGTGAGAAGGGAGGAGCTGTGAGAGGGGGAAGGTAGGAGCTGTGAGCGGGGGAAGGGAGATGCTGTGGGTGGGGGAAGGGAGGTGCTGTGAGAGGGGGAAGGGAGGAGCTGTGAGAGGGGGAAGGGAGATGCTGTGGGTGGGGGAAGGGAGATGCTGTGGGTGGCGGAAGGGAGGTGCTGTGAGATGGGGAAGGGAGGAGCTGTGAGAGGGGGAAGGTAGGAGCTGTGAGAGGGGGAAGGGAGATGCTGTGGGTGGGGGAAGGGAGGAGCTGTGAGAGGGGGAAGGGAGATGCTGTGGGTGGGGGAAGGGAGATGCTGTGGGTGGGGGAAGGAAGGTGCTGTGAGAGGGGGAAGGGAGGAGCTGTGAGAGGGGGAAGGGAGGAGCTGTGAGAGGGGGAAGGTAGGAGCTGTGAGAGGGGGAAGGGAGATGCTGTGGGTGGGGGGAGGGAGATGCTGTGGGTGGCGGAAGGGAGGTGCTGTGAGATGGGGAAGGGAGGAGCTGTGAGAGGGGGAAGGTAGGAGCTGTGAGAGGGGGAAGGGAGGTGCTGTGAGAGGGGGAAGGGAGGAGCTGTGAAAAGGGGAAGGGAGATGCTGTGGGTGGGGAAAGGGAGATGCTGTGGGTGGGGGAAGGGAGGTGCTGTGAGATGGGGAAGGGAGGAGCTGTGAGAGGGGGAAGGTAGGAGCTGTGAGAGGGGGAAGGGAGGAGCTGTGAGAAGGGGAAGGTAGGAGCTGTGAGAGGGGGAAGGGAGATGCTGTGGGTGGGGGAAGGGAGGAGCTGTGAGAGGGGGAAGGGAGATGCTGTGGGTGGGGGAAGGGAGATGCTGTGGGTGGGGGAAGGGAGGTGCTGTGAGATGGGGAAGGGAGGAGCTGTGAGAGGGGGAAGGGAGGAGCTGTGAGAGGGGGAAGGGAGGAGCTGTGAGAAGGGGAAGGTAGGAGCTGTGAGAGGGGGAAGGGAGATGCTGTGGGTGGGGGAAGGGAGGAGCTGTGAGAGGGGGAAGGGAGATGCTGTGGGTGGGGGAAGGGAGATGCTGTGGGTGGGGGAAGGTAGGAGCTGTGAGAGGGGGAAGGGAGGTGCTGTGAGAGGGGGAAGGGAGGAGCTGTGAGAGGGGGAAGGTAGGAGCTGTGAGAGGGGGAAGGGAGATGCTGTGGGTGGCGGAAGGGAGGAGCTGTGAGAGGGGGAAGGGAGATGCTGTGGGTGGGGGAAGGGAGATGCTGTGGGTGGGGGAAGGTAGGAGCTGTGAGAGGGGGAAGGGAGATGCTGTGGGTGGGGGAAGGGAGGTGCTGTTAGAGGGGGAAGGGAGGTTCTACTAGAGAGGGGGAAGGGAGGTGAGATGGGTGGGGGAAGGGAGGTGCTGTGAGAGGGGGAATGGGTGGGGGAAGCGATGTGAGGAGGGTGGGGGAAGGGAGGTGCTGTGAGAGGGTGAAAGGAGGTGCTGTGAGAGGGTGAAAGAGGTGATGTGTGAGTAGGGTTGGGAGTTGCTGTTAGAGGGGGAAGGGAGGTGCTCGCCGTAAGGAAATAGGCCAAATGAGTGACGCGTGAAAGGCGTGTAGGCTGCCGGTGAGCGCGCGGACACCTCCCCCTAAGGGTCGCGCACCCAGCTGTAAGCAGCGCGCACACCGCAAGCAGCTGAGTGCGCCCCGCTGTAGGCATCTGGCGCCTCTTTAGCATCAGCGCGCATGCGACTGTAATTTCACGCGCCACCGAGGCATATGCGCGCGCACCGGCAGCATTAGCCATGAGCCTACTAAACATCAGCGCCCAAACCACAGTAATGCAACGAACCCCCTTTCTCAAAAGCGCAACCACGTCAGTAGGCACCACGCGCCTACAAAACTGCCGCGCGCAAAACACCCACACACGCGTATAGCGCCTGCTCTGAGAGGGGGAAGGCGGAGAGGACGGAGGGGGGGGGAAGGTGCGTTGAGAGGGGGAAGGAGGAGAGGACAGAGGTGGGGAGAAAGTGCACTTAGATGGGGAATGAGGAGAGGACAGAGATGGGGAGAAGGTGCACTGAGAGGGGGAAGGATGAGAGGACAGAGGGGGGGAGAAGGCGAGGACAGAGGGGGGAAGGAAGTTGCTCCAATAGGGGAAAGAAGGAGAGGGCAGAGGGGGGATGGTAGGTGCTCCGATAGGGGACAGAGGGCGAGGACAGAGGGGGGAAAGAATGTGCGACGACAGAGGGGGGAAGGAAGGTGCTCCGATAGGGGAAAGAAGGAGAGGGCAGAGGTGGGGGAGAAGGTGCACTGAGAGGGGGAAGGTGGAGAGGACAGGGGGGGGGGAGAGGGTGCGTTGAGAGGGGGGAGGAGGAGAGGACAGAGGTGGGGAGAAAGTGCACTTAGAGGGGGGATGAGGAGAGGACAGAGATGGGGAGACTGTGCACTGAGAGGGGGAAGGAGGAGAGGACAGAGGGGGGGGAGAATGTGCACTGAGAGGGGGAAGGAGGAGAGGACAGAGGGGGGGAGAAGGTGCACTGAGAGGGGGAAGGAGGAGAGGACAGAGGTCCTGTGAGAGGGGAAGGGAGGTGCTTGATGGGGCAATGCAACGATGTTAGATATGGAAGAGAGGTGCTTACAGAGGGGGTAGGGAGATAATGTCATAGTGGGAATGGAAAAGAGGACTGAGGGGGAAGGGAGGTACTATGAGAGGGGGAAGGGAGGTTCTGCGAGATGGGGAAGGGAGGTGCTGCGAGGTGGGGAAGGGCGGTGCTGGCCGGGGGGAGTTAGGCGGTGTTGGGGTGGGTTAGGGAGGTGCTGGCAGGGGGGGATGCAACGATTTGAGAAGGGGAAGAGAGGTGCCGAGGTAGGGGGAAGGGATGTGCTGTGAGAGGGGGAAGGGAGGTGCTGAGAGAGGGGGAAGGGAGGTGCTGAGAGAGCAGAAGAAGGTAGGTACTGGCCGGGTGGAAATAGGGACTCCTGTCATCATTTTCCCCTATGCTCCCTCTCATACCCCCATTTGCCTGTCATCATTTTCCCCTATGCTCCCTCTCATACCCCCATTTGCCTGCCATCATTTTCCCCTATGCTCCCTCTCATACCCCTCTCTACCTTTCAGCATTTTCCCCTCTGATCCCTCTCATTCCCCCCTTTGCTGATCAAAATAATCCCTGTGACATGGAGGTGCAGTGAGAAGCGGGGGGTTGGATGAGCAGGTAGGGGGAAGGTACGTGCTTATGGAGGGTGGGAGGGAGGAGAGATGAGAGGAGGAAGGGAGGTGAGGTTAGAGGGGAAGGATTAGTGCTTTGGGAGGGGGAAGGGAGCGGAGGTGAGTGATGGAAGATAGGTGATGGAAGGGGCAATAGAGGTAAGGTCAGAGGTGGGATGGGAGGTGAGGGGAGGGGGAAATGAGGGTGAGGTCGGAGGGGGAAGGGAAGTGCTGAGAGACGGGAGAGAAGGTGCTGGCTCGGGGGGCAAGAGGTGCTGTCAGAGGGGTAAACTGAGGTGAGAAAAGTGCATAGGAAGGTGGAAGGGAGTTGATGACCCTTGGGGAATGTAGGCAAACAGGGGAGGGGGACAGGAAGGTGACAGAGGGGGGTAATCGAGGTGCGTGTAATGGGAAATGAAGCTGCTGGCAGGGGGTTTGGAGGTGATGTGAGAGTCAGACTGGGGGTGCGATCAGAGAGGCAAGATAAGTGCTAGAAGAAAGGGGAACGGAGTTGCAGCGCGCGGGGTTGATAGGTTTAGGGAGGGAGTAGGGATTCGTGGGAACACTTTATTCAACGTGCAAAGGGGAAAATGATAGTAGTAAGTATAACACATGAAAGCCGGAGGAGCATATAACCCGTAAGCACTAAACTAAAATTGTACCCTACCCGGGCCGGGTGGAAGTGACCCCTTGGAAGGGTGAGGAGGTGCTGTGAGAAGGGGAAGGGAGGCGGGAGAGGGGGAAGGGAGGCGGGAAGGGTGGTGCTTAGTGAGGGTTAGTGGAGGTGCTGGCAGGGGGAAAGAGGTGGTATGTAAGGGTAACAGAGGTGGTTATGGAGGGGGGTCTGCTGTTTGATCAGAGGGTTTAGGGTGGTGTGGTGAGAGGAGGAAGGGAGGTGTTGTGAGCGGGATTAGTGTGGTGCTGTGTGAAGGGGAAGGGTGGTGATGGGGGATGGTGAGGCTAGTGTTTTAATGGATGGGAAGGGTTGTGCAGGGAGATGTGGAAGAGAGGTGAGGCAAACGTGGAGGGTGGCAAGGTCAGAGGGGGGATTGTAGGTGCGATGAGACGAGGTAGGAAGGTGCTGTGGGAGGCGTAAATAAAACATGGCAAGGGCAGATAGATGGGGAAGGGAGGAAAGTTGATAGAAGGGGAAGGGAGTATGCTGAGAGAGTGGAAAGAAAGTTTTGCTGAGAGAGGGGCAAGGTATGTTTAGTTGGAGAGCGGAATTGGAGGTCAGGACAGAGGATGAAGGGAGGTGCTGAGAGAGGGGGAAAGGAGGTGCTGACCGGGAGGAAAAATGCGGTGTCGGATGAGGGAAGGGCTGGCAGGGGCAATGCAACGATGTGAGATGGGGAAGCGAGGTGCTGCGAGTGGGGGACGGTTGAGACGACAGGGGGGGAAGGAAAGGGAAGTGAGAGGGGGAATGGAGGTGCTGATATGAAGGTAGGGGGAGAGGAGGTGATGCCAGAGTGAGGACACAGAGAATGAAGAGGCTGATGTGACTGTTGGTCAGCGCTTCTGTATTCATTTCCACCATTGCATGATGCGCGCTGCAACAAAGGCGGAAGCGGGTCATCCAATGACTCCTCAGGAAGTGGCTGATGAAATTGGGGGGTGCGGAGACCATTGGGCGGGCATACACACCGGTTGTCAGCGAGATGGCGTGGTCCCACGTTGCGTTAGGGAAGGTTGGGGGGAGGAAAGTGCGCTGTATGAACCGGGTTCGGCACTTCACTTGGCGTTCAAAGAGTGGTTGTCAGACAATTGCGGCCCCGGTCCTATGGCAGCATACGTTTTAGGGGCATCAAACTGGATGAACGAGTCGTTTCACTCGTTGATCACGAAGTACGCGCCGAAACGTATAGCGTTCCTTGGCAGTATGGAGGCTCGGGTGGCGTTGATTGTGCTGCACTGGAACCACGCGGTGGAGAGGGTTGTCAGGGAGTGGCGAACGCGCGTACGCAAGGTAACACGAGTGCGGCGTGGGACGAAAGATCGGGTGCTTGGTCCAATGGATTGGAGTTGGGTGGATGATGTCTTGGAGCGATGGTCCAAGATAAGAGAGCGTGGAGGCGACGCTGCGAGCATTAGAGCCGAGGAGCAAGGGGGAGAGGCACTGTTTGGGGAAGTGAATGTGGGGGAGGAGATGGAGGACGAGGCGGAGGGCGAGGGCGCAGAGGACGTTGTAGGAGTCGAGGTGGTTCCCGAAGAAGTAGAGGTGGCTGCAGTGAGGTTTGGAGCGCCCCTAGGGGACGAGAACGAGGAGCCTCAAATTAGTTCCATTCCTATTCGACTTCCTACGACGCCACCCCGCGCTGGGAGTTGTGCTCCGGCACGCACGCCATTCTCACCGCTGACGCCAACGCCTGATGCATTCGTGTTCACGAGCCCTGCAAGCGTGTGTAATTCTGCTGCGGGGGCACGTACACGCCGTCGCACCGGCAACAACGCGCGCCCCAATAGAGTCCGACGGACTCTACCGCTTGGTCAGTGTTGGGTGGGGTGTGTAATCACCTCCGATCTTTTAATCATATGGCTGCATATCTACATCATTTTGTTTAGTATGATGAAGCATCATCTTTGTGGTCTCTGATCATACCGTCCCCAATTCAGGCGACCCGTCCCAGCCGCCGCAAGCATGAAGTCATTGCACAAGATGATCGGGCTACGTGCAAAAGACGACGCAAAATTCCCTCGCGGTATGGACATATGCTATGTTGTAGAGTTTCTTTTGGTTCAAATGAGTATTCTATGTTTGTTATAACGTTCAAGCCATTTTTTTCCTTTCAACAGATTTGTGGGCTTCACGCATGACCTTGGAACATAATCTCAATCTGGCATCACCGATGTGAAAGTATGGTGTCGATTAGTAAGTCTTCCATCACGTTAGTTCCCCCCCCCCTACCCTAACCCCCCCAACTCCCATTGCCATCATCTCATCCAACTTGCCACATCACCTCTTGCCCCTTGCCATCATCATTCATAAACCTTTGCCATCACCTCACACATCCTCTCTTCTCCCCCAGCCATAGCCAAGCATATAATCAACAACCTTATCTTCTTCCACCTTCCATCCCCTATCATCACCCCATGCCATCACCTTGCCTCTCCCCTTGGTCATCTCTTCCCTCTCCCCCCTGACCTCACCTCCCGCCCGCATTTTCCATCACCTCTTCTCCCCCTTTGCCAGCTCCTCTCATCCCCCCTTGCCATCACCATTCTTTTCCCACTGCCAGCACCTCTCATTTCCCATGGCCATCACCTCACATCCCCTTATGCCATATCATCTCATCCCTCATAGCCATCATCATTCCTCTCCCATTGCCATCACCTCCTATACGCTCTCTTCTCGACCTGTCAGTGCCACTCATATAACCAATCATTGTTATTTCATTGCCCCATCCATCCCATATCATACCCCCCTTCGCCATCTCGTCCCATTCGACGCTGACTTCACCTCCCGCCAACAACTTCTATCACCTCTTTTCCCCGTTGGCCACCTCATATCATCCTCCGTTGCCGTCATCGGTCATCTCCCCTTGCCACCACCTCCCATATCCTCTCTTCGCCCCCAGCCATAACAGTTCATATATTCGACCATCATTATCCCAATCCCCCATCCATCCCCTATCATCCCCTCATGTCGTCACCTTGCCTCCCCTTCGACCATCTCCTTTCCTCCCTTTCCCCGCTGACCCCCTCCTCCCGCCCACATCTTTCATCACCGCTCATCTCCCTTAGGCACCTAGTATCATGGACCCTTACCATCACCATTTATTACTGACCGCCATCACCTCCCATCTGTCTTTGCAATCACATCTGAACCCTCTGCCCTCACATTCATCCCCTCCCTTCCCTCACATTCATTTTCTATCCGATCTCACCTCCCCTCCATATGTAGAACCACCCTACTTTCCCTCCTCTGACCTCACCTCCTTTTCCCTCCCCCGATGAACTCACCTCCCCTCCCCACGCTGTACTCACCACACATCCCCGCTGAACTCTCCTCCCTCCCCTCTCTGGCCTGTCCTCCATTCCCCCTCTTTCAATTCATCCTATTTGCTGTGCAGTGTGAACCCTTCATCCATGCCTTCACACCCCTTCCACCATCTGCCAGAAATTCCATTCTCCCCTTTCCATCTCTGTCCTTTCCATCTCCACCCTTTCCCCCGATTCGTCTCCTCCCCTCTGCACCGCATGCCATGTGCCCTCTTTCCCCTCATCTCAGCACCTCCCTTTCCCCTAAACCCTTCTCCTATGCCGTCCCCCCATGCCACCTCATCCCCCTACGCACCTATCTTCCCCGTCTGCTCTCTCCTCCTTTCTCCCTCTGAACTCTCCTCCTTTCTGCTTTGCTAACATCTCGCCCTTTCTCTTTCCCATCGTCTTTCCCCTTTTGACCTCTCCTCCTTTCCCCATCTGACCTCACGATACTTTCCCCTATGACACCACATACTTCTTCCCTGCCAGAACCCCCTTTGCCCTCACACAGCACCCCGCCCCCCCCCTCCAAATTGACCCACCAACCCTTTCGTGTCTGACCCATCGGCACCAAGGCCCCTCTATACTCACCTCCCGGTCTCCCTATGACCAAATCTACTCTTTGACCTCACCTCCCCCTTCGCCATCTCCCCCCTTTCCCCCCACCATCACCTCTCGCAGCGTTGGCGGCAACTGAGCAGAGAACGGCGTTGGTGAAAGTGTGGTAGGAGAGAGGGCGCTGGCGAAATACGGACCCATGTACGGTTATAGTGTTACAACCACGCAAAACAGTTGCTAAGCTAGTTTTAATTACGCGTGGTACCAACTTTGTCATGTGGCTTCGTGCTGCTACTGTAAACATGTTTGGGGAGAGTGCGACGCACGGCGCTACATATCAAGGGGGAGAGAATTGCAGAGGCTGCGTATGTCTAAGTGTCCCCATGGTGGTACCCTGCATCACATCAAGCATGGGTTGACTGGTTTAGGTGTAATGATGTAGTGATACATGTTCTTTGCTCCTTCGAAGAGCAACCTTTGCTACAATTTAGTAGCATACACACTAGCAAACGTGATGGCTAGCATTTACTCACACAAGGGTTACAACATGCATATTCACACAACACGCGACTCGTGTCTCGACCATGTTCGCTACATCCGCGCCCACCGGGGGGCTGCGCATGGTGAAGTCAATCTCACTAGGGATTGTCCAAGACGTGAACCGGTCTACATCTGCCTGGCTACACCCCACGTAACCTTCATCTGAAAGCTCTGGATAAAGTGACCCTATGACTACGTACACAAGCCATGGCAATGTAACGTGTGCAAACGGGTGGTCTCCTAACAGTTTGGAGTACTCGACGTAGCAACGGAAACGGTGGTTTTTTGCTACTATTGGTTGCCCATCTGCATCCTCCAGCGTGTTCTTTCCAAGACAGATATGCAGGACACTCTCAACAGTAACCCTCTCGTCCGTATCACCACTTTCCTGCCCCAGACCGAGCTCGTTTATGGCCCACTGTTCAAGCACAGAGCTTTGCTTTGGACATTCGATGGCAAACTCTGACAGGGACCAACGTTCCTTAGGATAAAAAAGCTGTGGCGGCAACCCAGTTGGCTGTACAACCCTACGTCGGGTCACCCTTTCAACGGGCCGCCAACTGCTGGCAACTACCGAGCGACCAGGTACACCATTGTTGTTCCTTGCGGGTCGGGAGGGGACGGAAGAGGTTGATCCCGCCTGTCCCTCCATACCCTCCTCGTCATCCTCCTCTCCTTCAACTCCCATCCTGAACCCCAGCCGGATCCGACGACGCCGTCGAGAATCCCACCGATACATCTTCCTTGGACCTGGAGACGAGGACATAGGACGGGGCAGAGGTAGTTATGACTGGGCGTTATGTTGGGAAGAGAGCGGGGAAGGGAGGTGATCGAAGAGGATGGCGGGATGGGAGATTGGGGGAGGGGGGTAAGGTCCTACTGACCTTACCTCTCTACCCCCACTGACCTTACCTCCCTCCCCCATCTGACCTAACCTCCTTCCCCCCACTGACCTTACCTCCCTCCCCCATCTGACCTAACCTCCTTCCCCCCACTGACCTTACCTCCCTCCCCCATCTGACCTTACCTCTCTCCCCCCACTGACCTTACCTCCCTCCCCCATCTGACCTAACCTCTCTCCCCCATCTGACCTTACCTCCCTCCCCCATCTGACCTTACCTCTCTCCCCCCACTGACCTTACCTCCCTCCCCCATCTGACCTAACCTCTCTCCCCCATCTGACCTTACCTCCCTCCCTCATGTGACCTTACCTCCCTCCCCTCACTGACCTTAACTCCCTTCCCCCACTGACCTTACCTCCCTCCCCCATCTGACCTAACCTCTCTCCCCCCACGGACCTTACCTCCCTCCCCCATCTGACCTTACCTCCCTCCCCCATCTGATCTCACCTCCCTCCCCCATCTGACCTCACCTCCCTCCCCCATCTGACCTCACCTCCCTCCCCCATCTGACCTTACCTCCCTCCCCCATTCGACCTTACCTCCTTCCCCCCACTGACCTTACCTCCCTCCCCCATCTGACCTTACCTCCTTCCCCCATCCTGCTTTACCTCCCTCCCCCGTACTGACCTAACCTCCTTCCCCGCACTGACCTTACCTCCCTCCCCCATCTGACCTTACCTCCTTCCCCCCTCTGACCTTACCTCCCTCCTCCATCTGACCTCACCTCCCTCCCCCATCTGACCTAACCTCCCTCCCCCCACTGACCTTACCTCCCTCTCCCATCTGACCTTACATCCCTCCACCATCTGACCTTACCTCCCTCCCCCATTCGACCTTACCTCCCTCCCCCCACTGACCTTACCTCCCTCTCCCATCTGACCTTACATCCCTCCACCATCTGACCTTACCTCCCTCCCCCATCTGACCTTACCTCTCTCCCCCCACTGACCTTACCTCCCTCCCCCATTCGACCTTACCTCCTTCCCCCCACTGACCTTACCTCCCTCCCCCATCTGACCTCACCTCCCTCCCCCATCCTACCTTACCTCCCTCCCCCAACTGACCTAACCTCCTTCCCCCCACTGAACTTACCTCCCTCCCCCATCTGACCTCACCTCCCTCCCCCATCCTACCTTACCTCCCTCCCCCAACTGACCTAACCTCCTTCCCCCCACTGAACTTACCTCCCTCCCCCATCTGACCTCACCTCCCTCCCCCATCCTACCTTACCTCCCTCCCCCAACTGACCTAACCTCCTTCCCCCATTCGACCTCACCTCCCTCCCCCCACTGACCTTACCTCCTTCCCCCCACTGACCTTACCTCCCTCCCCCATCTGACCTTACCTCCCTCCCCCATTCGACCTTACCTCCCTCCCCCATCTGACCTTACCTCCCTCCCCCATCTGACCTTACCTCCTTCCCCCCTCTGACCTTACCTCCCTCCTCCATCTGACCTCACCTCCCTCCCCCATTAGACCTTACCTCCTTCCCCCCACTGACCTTACCTCCCTCTCCCATCTGACCTCACCTCCCTCCCCCATCTGACCCCACCTCCCTCCCCCATCTGACCTTACCTCCCTCCCCCATTCGACCTTACCTCCTTCCCCCCACTGACCTTACCTCCCTCCCCCATCTGACCTCACCCCCCTCCCCCATCTGACCTTACCTCCCTCCCCCACTGACCTTACCTCCCTCCCCCATCTGACCTAACCTCCTTCCCCCCACTGACCTTACCTCCCTCCCCCATTCGACCTTACCTCCCTCCCCCATCTGACCTTACCTCCTTCCCCCCACTGACCTTACCTCCCTCACCCCACTGACCTTACCTCCCTCCCCCATCTAACCTTACCTCTCTCCCCCACTGACCTTACCTCCCTCCCCCATCTGACCTAACCTCCTTCCCCCCACTGACCTTACCTCCCTCCCCCATCTGACCTAACCTCCTTCCCTACACTGACGTATACCTCCCTCCCCCCTCTGACCTCACCTCCCTCCCCCATCTGACCTCACCTCCCTCCCCCCTCTGACCTTACCTCCCTCCCCCATCTGACCTTACCTCCCTCCCCCCTCTGACCTTACCTCCTTCCCCCCTCTGACCTTACCTCCCTCCCCCCTCTGACCTTACCTCCCTCCCCCCTCTGACCTTACCTCCCTCCCCCATCTGACCTTACCTCCCTCCCCCCTCTGACCTTACCTCCCTCCCCCATCTGACCTTATCTCCTTCCCCCATCTGACCTCACCTCCCTCCCCCCTCTGACCTTACCTCCCTTCCCCCTCTAACCAACACTCCATTGTTCCTCTGTACCTCCCTTCACCCTCTAACCTCACCACCCTGCACCCTCCGACCTCACCTCCCAACCTCTCACCTGACCAACCCTCCCATCTCTCTATAACCTCTCCTCATTTGCACCTCTGACCTCACCTCCCTTCCCCCCTTGATCTAACCTCCCTTTCCTCCCTCGCGCATAACCTCCCTTCGCACTATTACGTCACCTACCTTCCCCCCAATACAAGACCCGCCTTTCCCCTCCCACCGCACCCTCGCGGTGCTCATGGGACATCATGTCGTTTACTTACCCTCTGTATCACCTCGTTTTCCCCAGTAAGAGGTCTCCATGCGGTCACATCCCTTTCTCCCATGCCACCACCTCCCTAACCCCCATGCCTTCAAGACCCATTTCATCACATGGTGCTCGCCATGCCATCCCATCCTATACCTTCCAGCGGAAAAGAATATCCCTTCTTACCTGCCATCACGGTCATTACCCCTTTATCGTCTCCCGACTTCCCCCATGCCCTCTCCTCCCTTCCAACCCTTGTCATCACATCTCTTTCCCCTCCGCCATCACATCCCTCCCACCCAGATCCCTTCTCCCCTGCCACGCCCTTCGTAATCTCAATCCGCCCTTCTTCCCAGCATTCCGCCCTTCCTATTGCCCTTCCCCCTCGGTCTCCCCCTCCATTCCCCCTCCCCATAACAACCCTTCAACCCGCGCCTTATTCAGCCCATCCCTAATCCCCGCCCATCCCTAATCTCATACCGCCATAACTCCTCGCATTCCGCCGTAATCCCTACTCTCATTCCGCCCTTATTCCTCTCATTCCGCCCTTATTCCTCTCATTCCATCCTTCTTCCTCTCATTCCGCCCTTCTTCCTCTCATTCTGCCCTTCTTCCTCTCATTCCGCCCTTCTTCCTCTCATTCCGCCCTTCTTCCTCTCATTCCGCCCTTCTTCCTCTCATTCCGCCCTCCCTGCTCTCATTCCGCCCTCCCTGCTCTCATTCCGCCCTTCTTCCTCTCATTCCGCCCTTCTTCCTCTCATTCCGCCTTTATTCCTCTCATTCCGCCCTTCTTCCTCTCATTCCGCCCTTATTCCTCTCATTCCGCCCTTATTCCTCTCATTCCGCCCTTATTCCTCTCATTCCGCCCTTATTCCTCTCATTCCGCCCTTATTCCTCTCATTCCGCCCTTCTTCCTCTCATTCCGCCCTTCTTCCTCTCATTCCGCCCTTATTCCTCTCATTCCGCCCTTATTCCTCTCATTCCGCCCGTCTTCCTCGCATTCCGTAATTCTTCGTCTCATTCCGCACTTCGTCCTCTCATGACGCTCCTCTTCCTCTCGTCGCGCCCGTCATTCTCTCCCTAATCCCCTCTTCCTAAACAAACCGCCCTTCCTAATCGCATTCCGCACACCCTACACTCATTCCGCACGTATCAACTCTCATTTAGCCCGTCGTAGTCTAAATCAGCCCTTCTAAATCTCATTCGGCGCTTACCACTCTCATGCCGCCCGTTTCCTCTCTCATCGACGATATGGGAAGCTATTCTCATTCTAATCGTACACGGTGCAAAGAATGCTTACCAGGAATGTGCTATGTCGAATTTCACAAAGCAAGGAGACGGGAGGAAGGTTGCTTGGCGTGAGCAGTCATTTCAACCCCACAAAGTGCTTGCGTCGTCGAAGTGGGTCGCACAGTTCTCAATCAGACCCAGACCTGTCCCTTCAGGCTCGACTTGCACCCAAACCTGCACTCCCAGGTTTGTTCTGGCACCCTCTGTTGGGGAGTTCGCCGTGTTGTTTTCACCAGCTCCCCAAAAATTTCGTCATTCGCCACCCAATCACTGACGTGCAAACCCAACCAAGTGTTAAACCGTTGAAAATTGGAGACGCGAGCTTTAATATTGGAGTCGGTTTCTTTTTTCGGTCTTGGTCATCAAAATCAGTTCCTCCAAAGATATTAGTAGGTATGTTATGTGAGTGTTTCTTATTCATGTCTGCATAAATGTCGTTTTAGGGAAACATTTTTGTTGGAACTCGAACTGACAAACCAGAAAATTTAGCGAAGCCTGTCTTAGTGAAGCTTTCAGATCAAAACATCAGAGGTGTGCAGTTCTGGTCCTCTCAGATACCCGTCAGCTTCATCGTAAGTCGTAGATTTCGCGCTGCCCGCTGCCCCGCCCCTTGCCCCGGATCGCGTTACCCACTGCCTCGCGCCCTGCTCCGTTTCGCGCTGCCCGCTGCACGCTTTCCCGCTGCCTCCACTGCCTCTCGTACCGCTACCTCTCGCCCCGCCTCACGCGCGTCGTCCGCCCATTTTCCATCGCCAGGCGCTGCCGCCACCTTGCGTCCATACTTCCAGATCCGATTCCGAATGACGTCATCAGCGATCGGCAAGTGCGTCAGTGACGTCAGCGGCCCTCTGCTGCGCGGGAAGCTGCTCCCCTGGACTGCCGCCGCCTTGTTTTCCGCCACCTCCCGCGCGTTCTCCGCCTCCAGCAGCAGCGCCGGGCGTTGCGCGCAAGCTGGGGGCGCGGGCGAGGGGGGAGGCGCGGCGGAGGGATCCGGCGGAGGGGGGAACCTCGCGGCGATCAAGGAGCTGCGCGCGCGCACGGGCGCGCCGGTGAAGGACGTGAAGGCGGCGCTGGTGGCGGCCGGGTGGGATCTGGGTGAGGCGTTGCTGTAGCGAGGTGGTACTGTAGAGAGGCGGTACTGTAGCGAGGCGGTACTGTAGCGAGGCTGTACTGCAGGAAGGCGGTACTCCCCCCTTTCCCCAATCCCTCCCCCCCGCCCTCCCCCCAGATGCGGCATTCACGGAGCTGAGGAGGCGGGGGCTGGCAGCGGCGCAGAAGGAGCGTGCACAAGTGGCAGCAGAGGTGTTGATGGGCGCGAGTGACTCCAACACCACCTCTTCCCCCCATTCTCCCCTTCCCTCCTCCCCCCATTCTCCCCTTCCCTCCTCCCCCATCCCGCTACCTCCTCCTCCCCACTTTCCCCCCCTCCTCCCCCCCAGACGCGGCATTCACGGAGCTGAGGAGGCGGGGGCTGGCAGCAGCACAGAAGAAGAGGGCGCGGGTGGCAGCGGAGGGGCTGGTGGGCGTGGCGGTGCGGCCGGGCGTGGGAGCGGTGGCGGTGGAGGTGAACAGTGAGACGGACTTCGTTGCACGGAATGACCTCTTTCAGCTTCTGGTGAGTGCCAGCCTCTTCCAACTGCTCGTGACTGCTTCCCTGTGTGGCTTGTGAGGAGCCTCAAAGGGCGTGGGAGTGGTGACGGTGGAGGTGAACAGTGAGACGGACGGACTTCGTTGCAAGGAACGACCTCTTTCAGCTGCCTGTGAATGCGTCTTGTAAGGTCTGTGTTTGGATCTAAACCTCAAACCCTGAACCCTGAGTCGTCGAGCACAAGCCTTAAAGTTGGCGGCTGCACTGGAAGTGGAAATGAATGCGCACGCGAGTGAGTGGGGCCTCAAGAGTTGACTCGTGCGGTGGGCTTTCAGACGACGATGATGATGATGATTCCTGCATTGAGAGAGGAAGTGAGTAGCGAACCGACGACAAAGAAACCCGAGGAGTGAAATCGTTTTCTTCAAATGCTGTTGGTGAGTGTGTCATCGCCACACGGACGGGTGTGCAAGGCTGAGAGGGCTGAGAGGGCTGAGAGGGCTGAGAGGGCTGAGAGGGTTCCAAGTATACCCTTTCGAACATGGGCTCTTCTTCCGCTGCATCCACACCTCTCCACCATCACATCGCTCCGACTTCTCATCCCACCTCTCTTCCTCCTCACTCCCTCTCCTCTCTTTGCTCTCTCCCTCCTCTCTCTGTCCCCTCGTTCCCTTTCTGCAGGTTTCCAAGGCAGCAGCCGCAGCATTGAGCCTTTCCCCCTCCTCCTCCTCTTCCTCCGACCACTCCTCTCTCCCCCTCCCTCTTCCTCTGGCGAACCTCGAGGTGAGTGTGGTATTAAATAGCGGAAGAGTAGTTTGCATGGCAGTAGTTGGTGTGGTGTTGGTGAGTTCGCGTTTCCTCCACCTGCCATCCCTCTCTTTTCAAGTGGACATTCGATTTCCTTCACTCCCATTGTCCCACACACATGCCCCACTCACCACCCCAACCTCTCACTCCCTCACACCACCAGCAGGCCACAGTGTCGTTTGACCACCAGAAGCTGTTGGAAAGCCGGCAGCTGCCAGGCAGAGTAAGAGGCCGAGTTGGTGGCATTCACAGCCCTCAACTAACTTCCCTCTGCATCCCTGTCCCCCACTCCCTCCCACCACCAGCAAGCCATGGTGTCATTCGATCATCCGAAGCTGTCAGGAAGCCGCCAGCTGGCAGAGGCGGTGGCTGAGGTGGCAGCGCTCACGGGGGAGAACGTGCGCCTGCGCCGAGCCTTCCTGCTTCCCGAGCCTCGGCCGTCTGGCTCGGTGGCCACGTACCTGCACAGCAGCCCCGGGGCTGGCTTGGGCCGGATAGCTAGTCTTGTGTCCCTCTCTATTTCTGAGTCGTCTGGTAGCAGCAGCAGCAGCGTCAGCGGGGGAGGGAGCAGAGCAGACACCGGATCAGAGGCAGCAGCAGCAGTGGAGGGGGCAGGAGGAGGGCATGAAGCAGTGGCAGAGGCAGCAGGGGCGGTGGGGGAAGGAGTGGCGATGCATGTTGTGGCGATGAGGCCGCTGTACTTGAGGCGAGAGGACGTGCCTGGGGAGGTGGTGGAGAAGGAGAGTGATGTGCTGCGAGCCCAGGTGAGAGTGGGTGAATTCTAGTCAACAGGTGGGTCAACGCGAGTCAACAGGTGGGTCAACGCAAGTCAACAGGTGGGTCAACGTGAGTCAACAGGTGGTCAACGCGAGTTCATGGGTGGGTCAACGCTCTTCAACAGGTGGGTCAACACTAGTAAACAGGTGGGTCAACGCGAGTCAACGCTAGTCAACTGGTGGGTCAACGCTAGTCAACTGGTGGGTCAACGCTAGTCAACTGGTGGGTCAACGCTTGTGCAAATGGTCAGCTTTAAATCTCCTCTCCCTCTGTCGGGCCGTCCCGTCCCCCTACCCCTCTCGCCATTCAGGCCACAGAAGAAAGCAAGAGGAGCAGCACAGTGGGGAAATTAGCAACGTGGTGCCTGAATGCTTGCCAGTTGCAGCCTTTTGAGGCTCCTCTAGTTCTCTCTCTACTTCCATGCGCGCTTAATAGGCTTGGGTCCTCTGTTTCTCTCTCCCTGCCCACCTGCACAGGCAGTGGCAGCAGGCAAGCCAGCGGGTGTGGTGGAGAAGATGGTGGCGGGGCGGCAGAGGGCTTGCCATGCCAGTGGCAGGCTTTTTGAGGTTCTGCTTTTATTCTTCATCTCTCTCCCCTCCCGTGCACGCGGTGGCAGCGGGCAAGCCAGCACGCGTGGTGGAGAAGACGGTGGCGGGGCGGCTGATTGCTGGCTAGTGGCAGGCTGTTGACACCCGGGCAGGCTGTTGACACCCGGGCAGGCTGTTGACACCCGGGCAGGCTGTTGACACCCGGGCAGGCTGTTGACACCCGGGCAGGCTGTTGACACCCGGGCAGGCTGTTGACACCCGGGCAGGCTGTTGACACCCTGGCAGGCTGTTGACACCCCGCTTTTTTTCTTCCTCTTCCTCCCTCTCCCCGCCCTCCCACACAGGCGGTGGCAGCAGGCAAGGCAGCAAGCGTGGTGGAGAAGATGGTGGCGGGGCGGCTGGGGAAGTTCTACGGGGAGGTGGTGCTGATGGAGCAGGCGTATGCCATGGATGATAAGAGAACGGTGCAGGTGGGTGCCGAGTGGTCGGTGTGTGGAATGAGCAGGTTGTACATACGGGGAGGTGCTGCTGCTGGAGCAGGCTTATGCGCTGCGCTGGATGACAAGAGAACGGTGCAGGTGGGAACATGCATGCAGCCCATGGGAACATGCATGCAGCCCATGGGAACATGCATGCAGCCCATAATTGTTGTTGCTACATCGCCTCCCCACGCCCTTCTCCCCACGCCCTTCTCCGCCTCCCCACGCCCTTCTCCGCCTCCCCACGCCCTTCTCCGCCTCCCCACGCCCTTCTCCGCCTCCCCACGCCCTTCTCCGCCTCCCCACGCCCTTCTCCGCCTCCCCACACCCTTCTCCGCGAAATTCTTCTGTGATTCCTTGCTCTGCATGCTTTTGTGAACTCATTCTGCTCTGCATACTCTTCTACCCACATTCTGCTGTATGTGCTCCGTCCCACGTCCCACAGAAAGTGCTAGCAGGAGCTTCTAAGAAGGCGGGGGCAATGATCCAAGTGGAGCACTTCTTACGGCTGGAGGTTGGGGAAGGCATTGAAAGGTATGGCTGGGTTCTAACCCTTATAGTATTGACTAGTATGACTAATTCTTATCGGTATAACATTGACTAGTAAAAGGTTGATTCTTACCCTTGTTATGGACTAGTATAACTGGTTTTTAGCCGTTGGTGCATGGCTTTACTGTTACACCTCCACACAATTGGCTGACTTGACTACCCATTTCTGTACTGCAATGATGCCACGTGGCAGGGAGTCCAAGGACTTTGCATCTGAGGTGGCATCACAGGTGGCCTCGTCCTCGTGACAGCATGGCAGCAAAGCAAGACAGCAAGACAGCATGGCAGCATGGCAGCATGGCAGCATGGCAGCATGGCAGCATGACAGCAAGACATCAAGACAGCTAGATGGCAGAAAGAATAATTTGTGGTGTCAGTGATGGGAATCTTCTCGTGCTACTTGTCATTCGAAAGTGTATTTTTCATACTCTGCTTTCTCCATAATTATGATTCTCTTTGAAAGTGTATATACTTTCCAAAATTGCGTATTCTGGAAACGCAACTAACTGTAACGTAGCAAGGCGACTTGGAAGAGCCAATCACTCATGTCTGAGTACATAACAAGGGTTGGACATGTGACCCCCCCGTGTGACATACATTGTCAAATTTTTTATGTGGCAATTTTACTAGTGTATAAGCTGAAGGACACGGGGCCTTTAAAATTGAATATCATGAACAGAGCATTGTTGAAAAGCACAACAGGGCACTCTAAAAGAAGAGGGTTAATGCTTACAGTTTATCAAGCTACCCACAACACATTACACATGACACCTTAGGAATTTATTTGTGTGCTAAGCATGTCTAGTGTTTCAAACACCATTTGATCTCGACTTAACCCCTGCTCCTGCAGATCGCCCCACACATGTCGCACCATCATTCCTTAGGGGCCCGTAAGCTCGCGGTACGGAACCACAATCAACTTGTTCCGCCACTTTGGATCACGAGCAACCCAATTCAGGAGTGGCTGCTCCCAGGGGGGGTAATATCGATGGTACATGTCTCCTCCTCCCAAGTCGTACCAGTGCCTGAAGAACTGCAAGGGCAAGACGTTTGGATAGGACATTGGTCTATACGAAACTAACAAAACAATCGAGTGCAGCTTTACCTTCTCGTCTCGTCCCTCGTTCCCTTCCAAAGCAGCACCCACAACTTCCCTGTAAATTCCTCACTTTATTACGTGACACCCCTTGTTCTCACCTTGAAGGTCCAAGGAGACAGCCGCCACAGCATGACACCGGAATTAATGTAATCACACCCTACTCCAAACAGTGCTTCCGGCTGCCCGTAATACCCTCCTTCGAAATCACCATTCCTAGGAATGAGCGCTATTGGTCCGTTGGGTTGTAGCACGGTTGCCGGTTGTAGCAGCAAAGCGGGGTCCTGCGGGACCCACACCTGGCCCTTGAGTGTGGCTGTCACATTGGCATCTGTCAACCAGCTGAAATAGTTCTGAAGCAAGGGAGAAGAGGTGGGGGGAAGAGGGAGGGGTGAGTGAGAGAGTGTGGGGAAGGGAGAGGTGAGATGAAGAACAACAGGGAAGGAAGAGATGGGTCTTGATTTGAGATGCAGCCACTTGAGCAAAAAACTGCAACTTGAGCGATTCTGTCGGTTTGGCACCTAGTGACCTGTTGAATGAAGAAGCTGAGATATCAGTGGCTGAGATATCAGTGGCTGAGATGAGGGGGAAGAAGGGAGGGAGGCTTTTCAGTCAAGAGCCGTTGATGGGATTTGCGGGGCTGGAGATGAACAGTTGGCAAGTCAGAGTCGGAAAGTCGAGTTTGGTCGGTAAGAAAGTCAAGGTGGGAGAAATGGACAGGACAGAAACAAATAGCAGCGGAGTAAAAGCTTCATAATAACCGATGGGTGTAGAACAATAACAGTGGAAACCGATGGGTGTAGAACAATAACAGTGGAAACCGATGGGTGTAGTACAATAACAGTGGAAACCGATGGGTGTAGAACAATAACAGTGGAAACCGATGGGTGTAGAACAATAACAGTGGAAACCGATGGGTGTAGAACAATAACAGTGGAAACCGGTGGGTGTAGAACAATAACAGTGGAAACCGATGGGTGTAGAACAATAACAGTGGAAACCGATGGGTGTAGAACGTAGCCCAGGACGGCTGCTTCCTGGATTTGAGGTAACGAGCTGTGTATGGCTCACCGGTTGCTTTATGGCTCACCGGTTGCTTTATGGCTTCAATCCAAGCTTCAATGGAAAGCTGGTGGTGGTTCATGCGCATGTATGCATCCGAGTCAAGGAAAAACGCCCACTTGCAGCAGCAGGAGAGCTGCTCCGCTATGAAGGGCACCTGCACAGGTATTAATGCGCTAGTTATTATCGTATGATGCCACTGCATACGCAATGACTTTTGAGTCGACTCAAAAGTCGCTATGAAGGGCACCTGCACAGGTATCAATAAGTTTGCCATTATCGTGGCCCTGTTCGACAGGCAGGCAGGCAAGCCCTGTCTGCCGTATGATGCCATTGCATACGCAAGTGCTTGTGTGTGTACCTGCTCTAGCTGTGGCTAAGAGTGATAGGCGGATGGATGTCACGATTTTTTAGGCGCCTCAAAAATCGTCTGCGGCTGAGATTGATAGGTGGATGTCACGTGGGGTGGGGGGGACAAGTGAGAAAAGAGGGGGTTGTTCTTTCTTTCCTTGCGTGTGTGTGTTTGTACGTGCATGCATACATGTGAGGGTGTGTGCTTGCAAGAGTGGGTGCAAGGCATGCGTGCAAGGTGCAGCTAACAGGTGCATACGCAAGATACACTTGCGAGCATGCATAAGATTATTATCCCTGAATGAACCACAGCCAGTGCACCGTTTGCCTCCTTCTAGTAGTAACTTCTCCCCTAAAAAAAAAAAAGAGGGAAGAAGAAAAAGAAGAAGAAGAAACTTGAACAATGCTGGGTGCACCACTTTGGCTGCTTTCACGTGCGATCATACTTGTATACCCCTCACACTTTTGATACGTCTCAAAAATACCCCTCACACTTTCTGTGTGTGGGCTGGTGGTATGCTCACCTTGAACCATGCTGGATGCCGATCGTGAATGCTGTTTCCGCCACCAGAAGGTAACCATGCCGCCATGCATACAGTTTCTGTGTGTGGGCTGGTGGTATCTTCACGTTGATGGTGCTTTCGAGAATTCTCAAAAGTACCATCAACGTGGGCTGGTGTTATGCTCACCTTGAACCACGCTGGATGCCTGTCGTGAATGAAATTCGATCCATTTTCCACCACCAGCCGGTACCCATGCCGCCGTACATACAGCCTGCGGATGCGGGCAGATGAAAAAGAAGACCTGCTTTGACTTGGAAGACCAAATTGACTTCTCTTCCATCAGCATGCCGTCATGCATACAGCCAGAATGTGAGCAGAAGAAGGGAATGTGGGGGGAACATGGAATATGGGGTTGGGGAGAACATGGAATGTGGGGGGAACATGGAATGTGGGGTTGGGGAGAACATGGAATGTGGGGGGAACATGGAATGTGGGGGGAACATGGAATGTGGGGGGAACATGGAATGTGTGGGGGGAAGGGAACATGGAATGTGGGGGGAAGGGAACATGGAATGTGGGGGGAAGGGAACATGGAATGTGGGGGGAAGGGAACATGGAATGTGGGGGGAAGGGAACATGGAATGTGGGGGGAAGGGAACATGGAATGTGGGGGGAAGGGAAGATGGAATGTGGAAACTGTCTAACGTCGGAGTCAGCCTAACAAACACAGTCTTGGATTAGACTAGCCGAATGTAATTCACACCTTTGCATGACTCTTATGTAAAACACGCTGTGGCATGCACAAGACAGCATGGCAGCACTCACTCACTCACATGTTGACAGCATGGCAGCACTCACTCACTCACATGTTGACAGCATGGCAGCACTCACTCACTCACATGTTGACAGCACGGCATGGCAGCACTCACTCACATGTTGACAGCTAGAGCGAGCCAGATGGGGAACTTGTAGAGCTGCTCCCTGCCATTGCCATCCAGCAGCTTGGGAAGACTCTCGTAGAACCGCCTCCACACCTCACCCACCTCGTCCTCTCCTGCAAACAGTTCACGTCCCCTTTCCCCCCTTTCCACTGTGTCACTTCCCCCCTCTGACTCGCTTCCTAGCCCTTCCTGGAGGCCAACAGCGTCGTCATCCCGTTTCACCTCATCAAACAACAAGCCGCCTCCCTCGTCCTCTGCCCCATGATATCCTCCCCTTCCTCCCCCTTTTCTCCAACCACCCTCCTTCATCCCCCCTTCCCTTGTACCTCTCTCTCTTTCTCCTCCCAAGGTCAACCCTTCCCTCGGCCCGTCTCCCTCCCGTTCCACTTCCCTTACCCATTCTCCCCTCACTTCCCCTCCGCCTTTGCCTCCTCCCTCCCCCCACATCCCCAAGCGCCTCACCAGCTGCGCAACAGCATCCTCCATTGCGCGAAGCTTCCTTCCCTTTTGCACTAACCGCCCCCCACCGGGCCCACCCCCGTCCCCTTTTTCTCCTATCCCAAGGTTCCTCATCAGTTGTGCTACAGCTGCCTCTACTGCCTGCACGCCTTCAGGACTGTAGCGCGTGTCTAGGGTGAGAATACAGCCAGGCCGTTCCCCCGCAAAGGGAGACCATATGAGAGGGGAGGGGTCCTGGAGCTGGCTGTTGGCCGCCTGGGGGTTTGAGGATGGATGGCCAAGGAGGGAAAAGGGTAGCAGCAGGACTACGTGAGAGGAGCGAAGATTTCTCATGATGAGCCTGAAATGGGTAAGCGATGAGACGAACTTCTCTTGAAGAGATGATGAGGTGAGGAGGTAAATTCTTTGGCAGGGCCCAAGAAAGCTTGTGTGGTGGTGCCTTTCGAATGAGCATGTGTGTGACGCATTGAAGACACAGATGATGAACGAAGAGAAAAGAAAGGAAGAAGAAGAAGAAGAAGAAGAAGAAGAAGAAGAAGAAGAAGAAGAAGAAGAAGAAGAAGAAGAAGAAGAAGAAGAAGAAGAAGAAGAAGAAGAAGAAGAAGAAGAAGAAGAAGAAGAAGAAGAAAAGAAGGGATGCCGAACCAAGATCCAATAGCAGGTTAGCACTGTAAAAAACGTGGCTAGGCGAGCTTGATTGGGATCTTAGACTCACACGTGCTTGAACGCGTTTGAACCAACCACCAATGACATAACTTTCCTGTCCGTTGTAGCTCCTGCGTGTGCGCAGCGCAGAAAGCGTTCCTTTCTTTCTCACCGGGGCACTGGTGACGAGGAGCCAGCACAGAACAACGGCCACGCAAGCTGCGATCCACAGCCACGGTGGCGCCGCCATGAGAGCGGCTGGGACGCTGCGCCCACCTCCATGATGCGTCGCCCCAGCGGGCCCGCGGCGCGCTGCAGGCTCCGTGACATGATCATTCGAATGATCGCGGCCGATGGGGCTTGGAGCGCAAGCCCCCTCCACATTCATCGCAGTGCGCACAGCAGCAAGACCTGAGAGAAGGAGGTTTGTACGCGGTGGTAGTAGAAAGCGTGGCTGAGGCAAACACGTACAAACTTGCTGGAAAAAGCGTGGAGATGCGGCAAACGGATGTATTAAAAAAAAAAAAAAAAAAACCGACCTTCGCCACGATCCCCACCTCAGGTACTAAGTCGAGTCCCCACTGTTTGACCCCGAGGCACACCGAGCTTCTACATGTTGGCTACTATTAGCCCTTAGTCTGCTCTATGCGCACCACTTAAGTCACACTAAGTGATCTCCACCTGGCCTCGTCCTCGGGCCCACGGTTCTCCAAGTGTATACGCACTAGAGTAGTCCCACACTTAATTGCGCAGCGTCTTGTTGATCAATTGTCACGTCTCGAGAAATACTCTTCACGTCAATACGTTGAAAGAGGAATGATAATTCGTTGAGAATTAATCACAAAGAAACACAAGCACAATCTTATACTAACCCACCGAAATCAAAAGCTAACAGCCCACCGAAATGAAAGCTGGAAACATACTTCGAAATGCCAGCTTTCACCATGCGAAATGAGTTGAAACATGCTCGCCCACACTTGTTCCTATGGGCCATACTTGCTCGCGAACGCTCGTGGACGCTCGTGGTGTTTCGTGGCGACAGCTCGTGACAGCTCACGGAAACACCTGACGATTTCGCGAAGTTACGTGACGGAATTGCGAAGTCGTCGAAATCCTCCTCGCACAATTCGCACCTGCGTCGAAATTAATCGCGCACTTCGTGAAACACCCTGGTGAGTTTTCTCCTCGGATAATGCAGACAAAAGGCTCGAGGGTCCCACGTAATCCAACCTGGACCCACGATTTCTCGGCCTTTTCCCTCGCGCCACCTGCACACCCCACTTGCGCGTGTGGCGAATCCATCTGCAGCCTCAGGCCTCGCGTGTGCACATGCTGGCACACTACTACCACTTGGCGCCACTCCCATAATTGCGCCAGAATCAGTACAGTGCTCGGCACCCCTTCAATACCTTGACCAGGGGCGAAATTCCCCGAACTCCCATGAACAAACACGAAATAACGAACGCACTCATGAAAACACACGAAAACGCATCTCACAAACTTTACCTGAAAACTCATGAACTCACACGGAAATACATGAACACTTCACGAAACACTCATGAACATTCATGACACTTTCACGAACACTCGTGACTCGCAGAACACATGAAATAACACGAACACATCCGAACACACATGAACTCTCACATACTCAAACCTTCACGAAAACTCTCATAACTCATGAACCGATAAGGCGAATCACGAACCGTAAACGCTCAAACCTAAAGCACAGAAACTCCCATCTCATGAAACACAAATTACCTTAACTCCAAATGCCTCAGCCAGTTGAAAGTCGTGGGTGGTCGTTACGAACCACTCCAACACTACACTGGCAGCAGCTCCCACGCTCCCGATTTTCAACAGTTTTGTCTCTCGCTTCCTTCAGCGACTCGGAGTCGCGGCTCGCAGAGCGAGTCGCTACCCCGTCCCGTCGCTCACTCGCTCTACCGGCCACTCCCTCGCTGGGAGTCCCGCCGTCTCCGTTCGCCGCTACTACTAGCGGAAAATACGCCAAAATTCTTATAGAAAACTTGAGAAACCCAGTCGCACTTGAGGTTCTCAGACTTTGTAACTACCCACTATGGTGGTAAAAAGGCCGCGCTGTCCCGAGACAGGGTTGCGACGCTCACGACTGCGGGCGATCCTTACTGTTGTTCGGAAGTCACTTGTTAAGAGGTCCGAAATGTCACTTGTTAGTCCCGCCGCTCCAGCGACCCTCACTCTCTCCCGCCCTCGCTCGGCTCCCGTCGCTCCCCTCCCTCGCTCCCTATGCCCCCCCTCGCTCCGTTGCTCATTCAATCGTCTCCGCACGTCCATCGTGACAGGCGGAATACGTCTAGGGGGATGGGATGGGATGGGAGGCAGGCGTGAGCACCAGCGGCAGACCAAGAACGCGCGGCCAGCCTTGGGCGTGCTACTACGAACGTGACTAAGGTGCGAGCTTCCGAAGATGGCGTGGTGGTGTGGCTCCATCGGCTCCAACCATTGGATGGCGTGGCAGCGCATCAAGTGCGATGAAGTCCCTGATGCTGCGGCAAAATCGTTGACATTTTTATGGGCAGTCCAGACAAAACATGTCAAACCGGACGATGCCGTTCATACGAGCGCCAGCTGGCGCTCGTTCCACACAAGCTAGCTGTGGGAAAAAAAAACTAAACCTAAAAGGGAAGGATGCCCTTCCGGACTCCTGCGCGCCACCCGGCTCGGGCCGAGGGGGACTCGCCATTTGCAGGGCAAATGCCGGGTTAAAGCGACGGTGCACATTTGCCACCCAAAACCCAGAACCCTGGCGAACTGTTACTGCGGATGGAAAGTGTCCGCACGAAATCCTGGTTTTCGCCAGCCAGCACTTTCACGCTGGCAAGCCTGGTTCAAAAAAAAAAATTCTGAACCCAACACTGCCAAAAGTTGCCCGTCGCTTTAAATCAGCGGCACACTACACTAAGCCGAGGAAAAATTCGCTGTACAGATGTTCTCGATTAGAGTGCCAGTGAAAAACACACGCGCTGCGGGCGTTTGTGGCAAAACTTACAAACCACATGTAAACGGGACCCTATAGTCCCAAATTCGGAAAATAAGAATGGAAAACAATTTTTCTTCGCTAATATTAGTTGTATATCTGGACCGCACTCGCTTCAACTTCCCATCAGGCGGTTCTGCACATCAACCAAAGTCGCATGACCGACAAGCAGAAATAGACATAATACATGTGACGACGATGTTTACGGCTGAATAATGTCAAAATGTAATAACTATGATAGGATGTAGTGAGGTGCCTTTGTCAAATGTTTATATCTTCTAGATATTGTTAGTAATTCTAGGCTACAGTGAGTTGCCCTCTAAAGGGTACAACACTTTCTAGGTCGTCACTTGTATCTCCTTGTTTCTCCTCACTCACACAATTCTCTCGACACTTCCTAGCTAATTCTAAGATGGTATTAGAGTAGGTAACTATTCCTACCTCCCACGCTTCCGCTCCCTCCCTTAGATGCTCCGCTTTGTCGCGCGTAGGACGGTCCCCGCGTGCCTTGTTTAGTCGCGTTCATGGCCCCCACTCTTCCCGCGGGCCCTCGTTTGCCCCCACGTGCTTAGGCAGGCCGTCGCAGCAGCCGCAGTAGTGCGCCACTGCACGCCACGCCCGTGGGCCCCGTTTAGCCGCGATTAACAGCCCCCCGCAGGCCCCGTTAAGTGGCGTTTAACAGGTCTCCACGGGCCCGTTCTGCTACGTCCTGCCAGCCCCCGTGCACACACTGCCGCACGTGCACAACTGCCTGCAGGCCACACACGCACAGGCCACGCGCGCACGTGCTGCAACAGACTTAAGCGCACACGGCCAGCGCACTCCTGCTTTGCGCTTAGCCGCCAGCAGCAGCAGCAGCAGCGCAAGCGCCCGCAACCGCCAGCAACATCAGCACTGCTAGTGCCTGCAGACGCCAGCAGCAGCAGCACTGCCAGCGCATGCAGCCACCAGAAGCAGCAGCACTGCTAGCACCCGCAACCGCCAGCAGCAGCAGCACTGCTAGGGCCTTAAGCTGCCAGCAGCAGCATCACTGCTAGCGCCTGCAGCCGACAGCAGCAGCAGCTACCCCCGCCCAGCCACGCTCGCACGTTCCAGCAGTGCGCGTCCTAGCCCTTACAGCGCGCGCTACAAACTGCCACACCGCGCGCACCCCACCCAGAAGCGATATCTTCCCCCTCCACCGTTGCTCTGCTCACACTCTCAAACGATTTTCCTGCTCTAGGCATCTCCCACGGCGGGTGGCAGCCGCTCTTATCTCCGTTTGCTAAAGTAAGTTTTTCGGTCTCCTCCTAGACTACGTTTTCGACCGACGTTTTCCAAACCTGGCGCTCCTAGCTCCACTCACTCCCAGCTCCGCTTGTCTGTAGCTCGGCGCTCCTAGCTCCGGCCGCTCCTAGCCTGGCCACTCCTAGCTCCGGTCGCTCCTAGCTTGGCCACTCCTAGCTCCAGTCGCTCCTAGCTCCACTCCTAGCTGTTACTATGGAGTCCTCCCGCAGCCTACGTTTCGATGCAGAGGGCCGTCCTATCGACTTTAGTACGTGGCTCCGCCAGGCTCAGCGCCACCTTACTAGTCAGCGCCAGGACGGTGCCACCTTGTACGCCCACGCGTCTGGCGCGCTCCGGGCCCCTGCACGCCCCGACCCCCTACCTGCTGCGCCCGCTCCCACAGCCGACGGGCAGGCGGACTACGACAGGATTTTCGTGGCGCTGGACGTTTGGGACTCTCGTGAAGCTGCGCCTGCTCTCGCGCTGACAGACCTTCTCCCACCGACTGGGGCCGCCCACTTCTCCCAGGTGGAGACTGCGAAGGGGTGTTATGATGCTATTGTTGCGCGTTATTCCACCCCTTCCTCTGCCTCCCTCAGCCGCCTCCTTATGTCGTTTGTGTTTCCCGACCTTGGCTCGTTTGCGACTGTCTCCGACCTTGCCACTTACCTGCGTTCCCTCGATACTAGCTACCATGCGGCCTGCACTGAGGCTCAGCTTTTCCTTGCCCCACCTCCTACGTGGCTCACCGTGCACTGGTTAGTCACTCGCCTCCCTGACCGCCTCTCCTCTGCCCATGACGTGCTTCTTCACAAGCACCCTAGTGAGCATGCGATCGATCTTCTTGAGACCACTCTCTCGAAGATCGAAAGTAACTTCCTCTATGTTGCCTCTGCCACTGACACAGTAGCTCCCCGTCTCTTTAAGGGGTGTGCTGTCCCTCAGCTTCTCACCTTCACTGCTACTCGTGCCATTGATGCGGTGTTTGTCTGTGGGGAGACTGCAGCTACCTCTGCCGCTGGTTAGCAGAAACGGGGCAAGGGTGGCAAGA